ATACCGCGCAGACGGCACTCGCATATAGTGTGGGAAATGTGGCCCATGGACTCGCGAATAACAGCATGACTGCAGCGCAACGGGCTGCCCTGTCCTCCGACAACCCAGAATATCACGCCAGGTATGCTTCGTCCCCATCGAAGAGACGAAAAGGTGGTACGACACAATGACTAACAACTCGACTAGAGTAATTGGCTCCAAGATCCAAATCGCAGGATGGACCACGTATACGGCGTTGATCAATTCCCTCAAACTATCTATGTTGGCATTCTATGTTCGCCTTATGGTATTCTTTCCCAACGGTTTTTAAAACAAATTATACATCGCGATGAATAACTGACATAGAAGACAGGATGGACTAGGTCGTCGATATCAAATTCCCATCTATGTTGGGTTCTCGTTCGTGATCGCAAGCTTCCTCGCGAGTATCATTACGATTTTTGCGACATGCAGGCCATTCCACAAAAATTGGCAGATCAACCCAGACCCTGGCAGTCAGTCTTTCACCTCATCTTGGTATCTCTATACCTGCTAACGATATTTTCTTCAGATATGTGCCAGCCAGCCATCGCCAAACCGGTTATTGCCGTCACCTTCGCTGCAAACCTCCTCACCGACCCGTACCTTATTTTCATTCCAATTCCCATGCTTTGGAAATCCAGTCTGAAGCTTCTCAAAAAGATTGCGACGACCATCGTCCTCAGTGCCGGCGTCTTTATTCTTGTGTGCGCAACGCTCAAGAGTGTTTTCTTGCTAGTGGTGAGTCTTGATGCTCTCAAATCGCCCTTTCACATAGAGAGTGTTTACTGACGTTGTCACTTTCCCCAGGATCCCGAGAATGGCGCACAGCTTGCCGACGAATGGGGCACCCGAGAGACCTTCGTTGCAGTCATCACCACCAATCTTCCGATGATCTTCCACCTGTTCAGAATCTGGCTCACCAAGGCATTCGGCAGCAAATTCCAATCATCTCAGAAGCTAAATTATAAATCCCCCTCGGGTGGTTTCCGGAGCATCGGCGGCGGCGATTATTCCAGCCGCAAGGGTTGCGGGCCCCCCAGTATGGAGCCTACCACCGTCGATATGACGTTTACTGAGAGTGAGGAGCGGATGATGGGAGACGTCAAGATGCAGGGCTTGAAGACCTATCCGGACCCTGCATCTGATACTCCCTCCTCGAGTGCCATTGTGGTCTCCAACCAGATAGATATCACGCACGAGTCTCGCAGCAGTCATCCCAGCGACCAGGCTATACAAAGCACTCATGAGACATGGTAGCACCAGGGCTTTAAACTAAATCTTTAGAAGTAATATATGTTTCACGTTCCATTGTCAACCATTCGATTATGTATTGGATCTTTTATTGTATATATATTGCCCGAGATCCCTTGAGAATAGAGCTATCACTTGTTGATTGTCTAGACGTTGTCTAGAGTGACTCTTTGTGTGATGATCCTACCCTACTTGTACGGTGATCCTAAGCATTGGATGGAATAACTGGCCTAGTTGCGGCCGAGGTGATTGGAACACGAAATCGTCGCGAAGAATGGCCAATAGGGTACTTCCTAGGGGCGCGCGTGGTCAGGCAGTTTATTACTCTTCATGATGGCGTTTTTTCACCTTCTCACGGGATTTTCAAATGCGCCCAGGCTGAAATAGGCATGAAGCTCACTACACTTCGCCAGCTTGGCCATTTGTGATGTAGTGAGTCTGTCCTTGCTGCGTATCATATGGACAAACATCTTACACTGCTAGGGATCGAGGTTTCATGCCATTTTGCGACGGGTTTGGGCGCTGTTGGCGCGTTGACCTGGCTCGCTTGAGTTTCATGAAGGTGGGCGTGGTCTATTTTCGGAGCTGTGACAAAACATGAACATACAGCTTACTCATGATTTCACGCGTATAGTATTATACCATTCAACCTCAGAACAGATCTTTAAATACGTGAATAGTCATATCGGGATTAGCCTTTCATATGGCTAGGGTCTGAACAGGCATCTTAGTGTTTCCAAGATGGAAGGCAATAAATGTCGGCACTATAAGGGAATATGGCAGGTAGTTCTAGAGAAAGAATATAGTGGAATGCAGAGGTATCATGGTATTCCTCGAGCCGGCGAAGGCCCCTCACACGTCGGGACTAAACAGCCCGCGCGGATCAACTAACAAACAAAAAAAGCGAAACGAAATATGAAGAGGAAAAAACTCCAGGGATAATGCCACGAAAGATAATTTTACAGTTCGTCATGGTCCAGAGGCTCATCGTCGTCCTCCGGGGGAGCACCAGAGCCATACAGCTTGCTGGTGATCGGGTAGGCGACGCTGGAGAGCTGCTCCTTCTGCTCCTCGAAGTCCTCGGTGGTGGCGGTCATGGCGTTGTCCTCGAGCCAGTCGGTGACCTCCTTGACGGCATCGAGGATAGCCTGCTTGTCATCCTCATCGATCTGGCCGCCGAGGCCGCTCTCATCGTTGGCCTGGTTCTTCAGGCTGAAGGCGTAGTTCTCCAGTCCGTTGCGGGCCTCGATCTTCTCCTTCATGGCCTTGTCTTCCTCGGCGAACTCCTCGGCCTCCTGAACCATGCGCTCAATCTCCTCCGCGCTGAGACGGCCCTTGTCGTTGGTGATCGTCACGGATTCCTCCTTACCAGTGCCCTTGTCGCTGGCGCTGACCTTGAGGATACCGTTGGCGTCGAGGTCGAACGACACCTCGATCTGGGGAACACCACGCGGGGCCGCGGGGATATCGTTCAGCTCGAACTTGCCGAGCAGGTTGTTGTCCTTGGTCATCGACCGCTCGCCCTCGAACACCTGGATCAACACGGTGGGCTGGTTGTCGGCCGCAGTCGAGAAGATCTGCGACTTGCGGGTAGGGATAACAGTGTTGCGGGGGATGAGCTTGGTCATCACACCACCAGTGGTCTCGATACCCAGAGTCAGGGGGTTGACATCCATGAGGACGACCTGCGTCGTGCTCGCATCGCCTGCGAGGACACCACCCTGAACGGCGGCACCGAAAGCGACAGCCTCATCGGGGTTGATACCCTTGCTAGCCTTCTTGCCACCGAAGAACTCCTCCAAAAGAGACTGGACCTTGGGGATACGAGTAGAACCACCAACAAGAACGATGTCGTCAACCTCACTCTTCTTGACCTTGGCGTCCTTGAGAACCTGCTCGACAGGCTTCATGGTCTTCTTGAACAGATCCATGTTCAGCTCCTCGAACTTGGCGCGAGTCAGGGTCTCGGAGAAATCGTTGCCGTTGTGGAAGGCCTCGATCTCAATGCGAGTGGACATCTGCGAGGACAGCGTGCGCTTGGCCTTCTCGACCTCACGCTTCAGCTTACCCATGGACTTGGCGTCCTTGGAGACATCGACGTTGTTCTTCTTGTTGTACTGCTTGACGAAGTAGTCCATCACACGGTGGTCGAAATCCTCGCCACCAAGGTGAGTGTCACCAGCCGTAGCCAGAACCTCGAAGACGCCGTCCTCAATAGACAAGAGAGAAACATCGAAAGTACCACCACCCAGATCGTAGACGATAACCTGGCGCTCACGCTCGCCCTCGCCCATCTTATCCAGACCATAGGCGATAGCGGCGGCGGTAGGTTCGTTGACCACACGGAGAACGTTGAGGCCGGCAATGGTACCGGCATCCTTGGTAGCCTGTCGCTGGGCGTCGTTGAAGTAGGCGGGGACAGTGACAACGGCGTGGGTGACCGTCTTGCCCAGGTAGCCCTCGGCGATTTCCTTCATCTTGCCCAGGACCATGGCGGAGACTTCCTCGGGAGTCAGGGTCTTGGGAGAGTTGTTGACATCGACCTTGACATTAGGCTTGCCATCCTTGTTGATAACCTTGAAGGGGAACGACTTGGCGTCCTTCTGGACATCCTTGTCATCGAACTTGCGACCAATCAGACGCCTAAAAAAGTTTGTTAGAAAAGCTGAGACCCAAACAGTTCTGCCCAGGCCACACTTACTTGATGTCAAAGATTGTCCGGTGCGGGTTCGCAGCGTATTGGTTCTTGGCGGCGTCACCGACGAGGCGTTCCTCATCCGTGAAAGCGACGTATGACGGGGTAATGCGGTTTCCTTGGTCGTTGACCAAAATCTCGACCTTGCCATTCTGCATCACACCGACGCAACTGCATACGAGTTAGCGAGGATACTCAGACTAGCCTGAAAGAAAGAGACACATACGAATAGGTAGTTCCCAAGTCAATACCGATGACAGATCCATAATCCTCCTGCTCGGAGACCTCGGCGTTGGCCGGGGTGCCGAACAAGGCCAGCGGCGCAATGAGCACCAGAAGAAGGTAAAAGACGGTGGTCCAGGTGAAGGACGAGGACGCGCCGTCGCGGGGTGATAGGCGCGGCATTATGAATGAAGTTTAGTCCGATACTCCCAAGAGAGAAGAAACACCGACGAAGCTGTCTCAAGCTCCAAGTCTCGCGCGCTGCCCAACCGTGAAGAGGCGCAAACAAAGAGAGGAAGAAACTCTGACCTTGGCTCTATAGGAAGAGGAAGGACGAGGGACGGCACCCGGAGTGGGATGGGGGGAATTGGGTGAAGAGGGAAGAGATGAGTTGCGGAGGAGAAGAAGTTCGGGGAGGCAAACCAATACTCTTGTACTGGCGAAAAGCACACGATGTCCTCTTCAGCGGGAAAGGTCACTCCTCGGGCCCTGATTGGTGGAAAGGGGTTCGGTCGGGGTGACTCAGCGGGGCTTAGTCAGGGCGTGCCGAAAGGGGACTAGGGCAGCGTGAAACCCAGGGACCTGCTGCAAGGGCCACCAATCACAGCCGGGGGGCCAGCCGATCGAATTTGCTAGAAACAACAGGGGCGATCGAGCTGCCACGTAGTATCTGGAGTATACTCGGAGTATACTTGGAGGGTAGTTACACTATGACTAGACCAACTATAACACTACTATCGATTGACGTGTCCTGTTCTATTCCCGGTTGCGGCTGAGCAGGGATCAACAGAGTCCGACTCTTATGTAGGCATTATTCTAACAACCCAGCCGCCACCGTCGAACCACCGGCTCGGAGCACAATCCGCGTCGGCGCTTCCAACGGCACCGCCTGGTCCATCTCGACCACCACCCGAGCCACGGTGCCAGGGCCAACGATCTTCGGCCGCTTCTTCAGAGCAGCACCGGAGGATTTATCGAGAGCGGCCACCAGCTTGCTGATACGGCCGGGAACATGAAGCCGGCCGCGGTGCACATCCACCATCATAGGCATGAGGTGTTCGAAGGCGAGCACCTTGGCGGTGAAGCTAGTGATGGTGGCGATGGGCGCGGACGCCCGGCACACAACGTCACCGGAGCGTAAATGGATCGGGTCGATATTCGCCAAGTTCAGGACGACATTCTGGCCCGCGACGGCCCAGTCGCTCGGCTCGCTGTCTACCTCGACGCTGCGGATCGTGGCCGTTTCGCCGCTGGGCATCGTGAGGATTTGGTCGCCCGTCTGTAAACTACCCGCATCTAGGCGCCCGGAGATGGAGAGAGGGTTCTGCACGCCGCCTCGGAAGACGTCACCAATAGTCATGCGTAGTGGCTTGTCGAGTGCGTGCGTGTAGGGCTCAGAGATCTCCAGCTCCTCGATCAATGTCGGGCCTGTATACCACGAGGCGTGCGGGTCCTCGCTTCGCCGGCTGATGTTATCGCCCTGGACACCAGAGCAGGGCACGAACGAGATGTTCTTAGCTTGGAACCCGGCAGTCGTCAAGAACGACGAGATCTGCTGCTCGATCTCCTCGAAGCGGCCCTTGTCCCACTGGACGGTGTCCATCTTGTTCACTGCAACAACGATCTTTTGAACACCCATGCTGCGCACAAGCAAGGCATGCTCCTTAGTCTGACCTTTCAAGCCCGACTCGAAATTGCCTACGCTCGAGTCGATCACCAGCACCGCAAAGTCTGCTTGACTGGCGCCTGCGATCATGTTCGGCACAAAGTCGCGATGGCCTGGGGCATCAACAATCGTAAAGGCCGTGCTGTCCGTCTCGAACTTGTTGGTGGCAATGTCGATCGTGACACCTCGTGCTCGCTCTTCTGAGCCTTGATCCAACACCCAGGCGAGGGCAAAAGAGCCCTTTCCGATTTTCTCGGCCTCACGCCGATACTTGTCCAACGTTCGTTGATCGATCGCCTCTTGATCCGCCAATAACCGTCCCATTAGAGTACTCTTTCCAGCGTCGACATGACCTGTAACCCATGAGCAATGATCGAAATCTTCTGCAGCGCTCAAGTCTTACCAATCACTACAAAATTGGCGGACTTCTTCCGAGTAGACTTCTTATACTCCTCCAAGACATCCAGATTCTTGCTCTTTATCGTCACTTTCTCCTCGACAGTCAAATTGCTCAAGCCACCTGCTAGATCGCCCTGGGACTTTGTGTTGCCGCCGGTTTTGGATGCCGACGGTTTTGATTTGAATCCTGCGTGATATTAGGCGGTTGTTCCAACCTTGCTGCGAAATGCCAAACCTTTCGCGGTGTTCTGTGCATTCAGAACGACGTCGTCCGGGCTCGGGCCTGCAAAGTCAAAGGGTTCAGCATGGTTTTGTCCGTAGATCCTCAGTAAATCCACGCCGTTCGAGTGCAAGTGGCTAGGCTCAGGCGTTGGAGACGCGGTCGTGCCGACAATAGTGCTGGCAAACGTGGATGGCGAGGCACGAATATCAATCTTTGGCTTCTTGTCTTCTAGTTCCTCTTCGGACGGCACTTCAGTCCCCTGTATCGGTGGTGGCATGGATGGTGCAGCAGGCTGGCTCTTGTCTGGGGATGCCTTCCGCGCCGGAGACGGTGTTGATAAGCCCGGTTTGGACAAGCGTCGAAGAGCGCCATTTCCTTCCGCGGGCTTCGGTGATTTTGCATTGTTGGCAGCCAGCCTGTCGCGGATGGACAAAGGCGTGCTCCGCAGCTCAGGCGACGGTACCTCCGTCTTCTCAAGCTGAGTGGTTGATAGAGGCTCGGCCACTGGAGTCGCACCGTTCTTCTCGCCTTCTTTCTTCTTGCGAGCTGCAGCTAGCGCAGCAAGTTTGGAAACCTTGCCACCACTTTCAGGCGCTCCACCCAGCAGCCCGAGGCGCGGGCATAGCGGTTCAACCAGAATATCGGCTTTCCGGTGCGCAGGAACATTGAGCCAGGGACAGTCGCGAAAGAAATCGGCCGCAGAGAAATGAGCCGTCGAGGGCGGACAAGGAGCAGGGTATGCCGGCACTGGGGAAGACCTGTTAGAAACATTGCGCAAACTTCGGGAGCGGCGTCAGTCTCGAGTCTTGAGCGAGGGAGGAAATGAGCCGTGTAGCACTGGAGGAAAATCACCAACACACCTTGTTTTCCAATGGTAAATCCGTCATCGCTTGCATACACATAGGGTCGTCTTCCTCCAACCACAGCTGAACCCAGCCACGACACGTCGAATAATCCACACCCGAGGGAATCAAAGCGCTTACCGGCTGCCGCAGTAGCCTGCTGCTTCTTGATCTCCTTCGCCTTCTTGCCTAATACCACAGACATTAGCCCGTAGTTACTCAACGAATCGCAGAAACAAAACCAAACATCCCCACCCCCCTCAACCCATAACGTCCTAGTCCGTAAAGAGAAAGAAAACGAGCATACCTCGCAAGTAATTCACAGTCTTCGTCACATCATTATAATAATGCCATAGCGATTCCTGGACCTCCTCCTTCGTCGCAGTCACTGGCGGGTTCCCTGCGCGGAGCTGCTGGAGTACATCAGTCGTACACTGTTGCACAAACTCCTGCTCTGCGGGATCCGCCGAGTCGTAGCCGTCGTCTTCGTCGTACAAATCGTCCTCATCGTAGCTGACATCTTTGATGCGGTGTCTGGACATTTGCGCGGTGGGGATGATCGAGGGGAGGGGAAGATGGAGGGGTATTCAGTTGTGAGGGAGGGAGGGAGTGTAGGTTAATGGGGGAGAGAGGGAGGGAGGAGGGGGCGGAGAGAGTAAGGTGAGGAATAACTCGGGAGAGGTGAAGGGAGAGAGAGAGTGTGTGAGTGTGTGGTTGAGACGATGTTGGCGAGAATCAAGGGAGACGGTTGTCGTGGGGTGGAAGGAAAGCTAAGCTGAACCACGTCATGCTCCACTTGAACCATCTCTCTCGTATTACGACCGAACAATAATACTGAATGAGTCTAGCACTGTGTACATTCCAGGCCGAAATAACAAGCCTACCCACGTCTATCCGCCGAAGACCATGCCAGAGTCCATCATGACCAGTCATCATCAAGACCGAGAAAGAAAGCAGCGCGCACATAGCAATCAACAACGGAAAAAAGAAAGAAAAGAAAAACACAAAACGTGCGCTTCGCAAGCCAAACATAAAACACAAATCGTCTATCGCAATGGACTTTCGCCAAAGAAGTCACCTGCTCCGGGTCCGCTGAAGCTCCCATTACTCGGGGTGAGGGCGATGGAGCGCCGGAATGCCTGGCGGGGGGTGGTAGGGGCGCTGGTCGGGGCAGCATTCGCAGCGGCGGCGGTGGCTGCAGCGGTTGCAGCGGCTGCAGAAGCTGCTGCTGCCGATGCCGCCGCAGCAGCGCCAACTTCGGGGGTGCTGGGTGTATTTCGGCCGCTATCATTCTGCATGGTCACCGCGGTGCCCGGGCGGGAGAGCACAGCGGCGGTGCCGTTTCTAGGAGGCGGGCGGAAGCCGAGCTTGGAACCTTCGCGGAAGATCTCCTCGAGCATCTGGGCGACGATGCCCGCATCCTCGTACTCCTGGAACTTCTTCCACAGACGCAGGGCCATGCGGGCATCTTCGATGGAGTCATGGCCGTGCACTGTGTCAGATGTTGGCTCTTCTTGAATGTATTCCTTGAACACGGCCCAGGCTAGGTATCGCAGACTCAAACGGCGGTTCTTGCTCGGGTGGAAGAAAAGGTACTGCGTGTCCACAGTTTGGGACTTGGGTACTTGGATATTGATCTTGCGGAAGTCGGACGCTAGGCCGTGGCCGACGAAGACACACCCCAGATTTAGGAGCAGCCATAGCTTCTTATATGCTGCCTTGAGTGGAACCAAGTTGTGCTCGCTGGTCCGCGGGTCCAGATCGCCAGGCTTAATGCCAGAGTACTGTGTGACATAGTCGACAATCGGCTCTCTGATCGTAATGTAGTCGTCGATAAAGGGGACTCCCTCGTCGATGCCTGATCCTCGCAACACTGAAACCCGAGCCAGACCGCTTTTGTTGGGCCGCACAATTTCCTGGGATCCATCTGCCTTGACGTTGATCTCTGCCTTTTCGAGATCAACAAATTCAGTGTCCAAGGCGACGGGTGTACCAGGTGTAGGCTTCTCCTCTTCGGTCAGCGTATTGCACGTATCAACAGGACGGCCACCATTCAATGACCACTCGCGGAACAGCAAGGTAGTGTCGAGCGAGTTTTTCCACGAGTCATCAACCGCATGGCGTGCATCTCTGGCCTGGTAGGACAGAACACAGGGCTGTTTCCAAGGCTGGGTGAAACCAAGGGCTTCCTCCCGATCAACCTCCGTGACCAAAAAGTCATTGAACAAGTGCCACCTGCTCCGTTCTTGGGCTTCACGAGCAGAGATGGAGACATTAATAAAAGACACCAGGTGAGACTTCTGGTGCTCCGGGATATCAACCTCGGCGACCAGGCCAACCAGGTCGTATACCAGAAGCCCGGGCGTGTTGTTCTGTATCCGGAGACGAAGATCTTCGCCCTCAAAGCACATGACTTGCGCACCATCGATCAAAATGCCCACTGCCTCAGGCAACCATCCCGGGATTGCCCACAGACGACGACAGATGGGATTCGTCAAGGCAGCGTTGAGCATGAGAACTAATGGCATGCGATGTACCGTCTTCCTGATCATCACCTGCTGGTACCTTCGGCAATAGTTGCACCAGCCGCGGTTCTGAGTTTCACGCTCGATACTCGCGCGCAGGATGTTGGAGAAGCGGAATGCAGAGTTGCGGCGTGCGTGCTTGATGTCTATGTTGGGGTAGATGAGCTCGTTTGCCAGCGAGTTCCCAGGCCGCACGATCTCATTCTGGCAGAACATGCACCGGATGGACTCGGAGGCTATTGTCGCGAGGCGTTGGTCCAGCTCTTCTGAATTGGGTTGGGTCATCCGGAAGTCATGAGCGATCTGGGTCAAGAAGAAGCGGTTGACGGATTGGATTGCTTGTGACATGGATTTGTTGGTGAGGTTTTCCTCGAGCAAGCCCAGGGTGGACGCCTCTCGGAAGCTGCTAAATGTTTTCAGCAAGTTCGTTGCCTGGCAGTTCTGCCCATTGGCCTTTTCCAACATGTCGAATAGATATCCCAATTCACATAGGAGACAATGCTCGAAGATACAGGAACCAGCCGCGTGTTGTAGAGAGAGATTTCGGACGAGGGGGATGAATTTCAAAAGTTGGAGGAGGGAGTTGGTGAAGGAGTTGGCAATGTGAGTTTCAAGGCCAGAGAATGTGGTTTGGTTATAGAAGCTGTGTAAGACGTTAACATCGGATTCGGACTCTCCGGGGCCAAAGGGGCTTTCTTTCATACCGAAAATCAAAATCATCCACCCCGAACCGACTATACTTGATCTCCACATTGCTGTATTTGAGGAGGGGATCATCCTCGCTTTCGCCGTTGATTTTCGCCCCGGCCAGGGCTTGAGCTGCATCGGTGACAGAGCCCTCTGACGTCCCTTTGCTTTGATCCCGAGCCTTTTCACTTAGGAACTTCGGCGCGATAAGTGCCGGTTCCGCCGTGGCCAGCGCGCGGGTGTTCTCAACTTGATACCGACGAGTCTTTCTGAGATTTGGCGCGTGGTGGCCCACCTCCGCCTGTCGCAGATAAGGGATCATCGCCTGGTCGAGAGGAGCAGGTGGGCTGCCCACTTCGAAAACGAGGTGACTCGGCCAAGCAGAGTGCAGGCGGTCATGGTAGTAAGGCATGCCAATCATGTTCAACGGAGTATCAGGGGTCCAATCAATTGGTGGAGGTCGTGTAGGCACATCGGCAAACTCTGCCTCTTTACTCATCTCATTAAAATGGATCTTAGTCGGTGATCCCCACAGGTGTATCGAGCATTCTGCGTCGTTGATCGCCAGGGCTTCGCCTGACGGCGAAAGCTCGATGCCGAGCATGAGAGAAACATTGGCCTGGCGGAGATTGACGGAATTAGGATTCATTAGGTCCACCACCTGTAGCTGGCCGGTTTGCGAGGCCACGAAACTGGTGGTGCTGAGCTTGGGGTGCATTCGCACGTAGGCCGCTCCAGCGTGGAAAGGGATCGGTGGTAGCGGTGCCAACGTCTTCAGGTCATACACATTCGCCAAAGGATCAACAATCGGGGAACCGAGATGGCGGACGGAAAAGCCGCAGGTGACCAACAAGTCATTCCGAGCATCCATATCATTTACCGCAGTACCATGCGCCTTCCAAGTCTTGACGATACTAAAATCCGACAGACTCAAAGCATTGACCGATCCCGTATCCGTCGCAGCGCAGAGATACCGGCTCTTCTTCATAATCGTGTAGTTGCAGTCGGTGGGCAGCTTGTCGACGATGATGCCCTTGTCAATATCCACGGTAAACATCACGCGCTGGCAGCCCGCAACGAGAATCCGATTCGTCTGCGCCGTGAAACTCATGCAGCGAAGATCGAGCATTTCGTCGTTCGTGAGATGCCATTGTGTCAGGCCGCGTCGAGTGATCATATGCACGCTCTTGGACGAAAGGGATATCACGCCTCTCTCATGGAACAAAATCTGACGCACCGCGCCATCAGAGACGGGGTGTGCTCGAACCGAAGTGTATCGATGCAGATCTGGGCCGTTGAAAGAGGTGATTCGGCCCTAGAGAGACAAAAACAAAGCGCGCGTTAGTGAGATGCCATCTCCGCTAGGATAGAAAATGCAGTCGGTGCATACATATTCATTCCCCGTCCACAGTAGTTCCATAACATCATCGAATGCCACCGTGGTCGCTATCGTTGGCATGGCATGCGAACTGGGCGGTGGCACCGCGATGCGCGCCAGCTCATCCCAGTCGGCCTCCATGACGGCAGCGGCGACCTATCCGGGCGAACAGCCTGTTCGCCCAAATTTCCAATCGGTTCAATTTTGTGTCCAATTGTTAAAAACCTACTGCCTTCCCCCTGGCGGAATGATGGCGAAGGCTGGCATCGTCCGGGAATGAGAAACGCGATTGCGGGGAAGCTCGAGGAAGGGATTAAGTTGGGCAGGGCGCAAGCGCGGCTCGGCACGGTATTTCTCAGGTATGGACGCCTGAGAGGAGGGCGTGATGCCCGGGTACAGTATCACGGCGATGGGCAAGTCAAGGGTTCCGGAGTGGCTGTCGTCGACTCTGGGATGCGGCGGAGCAGAGGTGTGTCCCATCACGTGATATGCGATATACTCAGTTGGGTGCAACAACTAATCTGCTTAGCTCGAAATGGATATAGACGGCATATACAACTTGGACGACCTATCATTGTTGGCTAATTACGTGGCATTGTACAGCAAAAAGCGAGGCCAAAACATCAACACAGGAACAAAAGAAACTAGTCGGGATTAACTACCAACCCGTTGAGCGTCAATCGCTCAACAAAAGACCAGACTCTAGCCATCGTCCCCTACCTATAGAAAGAAGCGGGGTTTGATCCCGGAGGCTGCTGATAGGCCTGGTACTCTCCGCTGGGCGCTGGAGCAGGCGGGGGGCTGTAAGCAGTATACGGCACGGCCGGTGGAGCGTTGCCAGGAACTGGGGGAGGCTGATGTGAAGGAGGAACGGAATGGGCAACTGGCGATTGGGGATACGGGGGGTTTTGCTGTTGTTGTTGTTGCTGCTGCTGCTGCTGCGGAAAATAATGCTGCGGAGGCTGCTGAGGAATAGCGGACGAAGGTGTGACCTGAGATGAATCCTCAGGAGAATAAACTGAAGGCGAATAGCCTTCTTGCGGGGGCGGCGCTTGCTGCTGCTGGAACTGTTGGTGCTGTGCAGGTGGTGCCTGGGTGCCCGGTTGGTAGGGAGGACGATGGCCCACGTTGGGGTGGTCAACGGGGGTGTCGTACACGGATGTCCCCAGTTCCTGCGGATGATCATAGGTAGACTGCGGTCGGTGATGCGTAGGCGGCTGGTACGCATCCGAGGGAGGCGGCGGCTGCTGCTGCAGCGGCTGGGGTGGCTGTTGGTGCACGACTGGTGCACCCATGGAGGCTTGAATGCGGGGATCGGGGGAGTGAGATGCAGGCCGGTATGGCATTGTCTGCTCCGCACCATAGTATGGAGAAGCATTTGATTGCGGAGGTTGCGTTTCTAGATACCGAGATTAGCGGCCCTGTTGTGAACAACGCAATCTTTAGACAAACCTTGAGGACGAGGACTAAAGTATCGTTGATCTGCTTGGGGAGGGCCAGCCTGGGGAGGACCAGGAGGATATCCAACAGGGGCAACACCTGGGTAACCGTACTGCGGCTGGGGAGGACGGCCATACTGGGGCTGAGCCGGGTGGGTCATAGAGGCCTCCAAGAGGGACTCATAATCACGCCGGGCCTTGATGAACTTCTCGTTAAGCTGCGTGAACTCGTCTGGAAGACAGTAAGTACAATGCCTAACCAACGGGTTGGTCTTGGTTACCTTTCTTCTGGGAATATTTGCCAATCAGCTCGATGAGCTTAGGTCGAATCGCTAGCGTGTGATGGTAGAGAGTGGTGATTTCCTCATTGTCTTGAACATTGAGGTCGGAACTCCGCGTACTCAGTAGCGTCAGCAGCTTCTCGACGTTCTTGATCTGGCTGAAGACATCCGCCTCCATCTGTGCCTCTCGCTGCAACTCTTCTGTAGTGGGATCGGGGAGCTTCTCGACATAGTTCAGAGGGAAAATGCCGGTCTGTCCTCTCAACGATCCCTTCCACCAGTCTTTATAGACGGATTCTAGGACTGCAATGACATCGCCTTTCCGAAATTGCAACTCTCCCGGTTCAGATGGCATAAAGTCGAACAACGCTCTCACTCGAGATACAGTCGCTGCCGATGTTCCTGAAGGCACGGGCTGTGCCACAGCAGGTTGAGATTGAGCTTGGGTCGGCGCAGCGGAAGATGATGCGACTGCAGATGCAGAAGGTTCACCCTGTTTGGGTTCGGCCGGATTTTTATCCTTGATTGATAGGGCCAATGCCATCTGCAGCTCTTCTTCCTCTTTCTGTCGATCGGACTGGGTAATCTCGCGTTTTCCCGGTTTGGACGGCGGCTGCAGATTCGGGTCTAGGTGGCTCAATCAGCTTCTGTCTTGGTGGAGCTAGTGTGTTACTCACTCTGTGTCTTCAGTTGCATATACGCTTGCTCCATGATGCCGAAATCCGGGTTTGACGAGAACATCTGCGTCCATTCCTCCATTCGTTCCAGAATCTTGGACTTGACCTGCTGGTGTGTGTTCTGGAATACTTAGAATTGTCTGACAATGGGATTTCTCGGAACTTACCCGGTCAGCGGCCAGGCGAAGGAGCGCATCAGTAAAACTCCTCGAAGCCAGCTCGCGGTGAATCTTGGGTCCACAATTCTGCGACAGGGAATTGCCCAGCTAGCAAGTCAAGTCAGCATGACACACACAAAACAAGCACTCGGGGTTCCCGGCACTGTGAGAGGGGAATGCTAACCTCCAATGTATAGAGTTGCACATTGGCATTCCTATGAGCCAGTCTTTTGATCATGGCAGCGACCGCTTCTTTCGGACTATATAACCCCGGGTCGCGGTCAGCAGGGATTCCTCATGATAGGATCTAGAGTGGAGGAGAAACGACATACCCCGACTCTTCGGCAGAAACCTTGTCACAAACATCCTATCTCACGGAGCAAATATCAGCTCCTCGGTCCATATTAACACAGCCATCGCGTGTCGTGGGCCAACGCACCAGAATGTATTCCCAGTTCTCCGAGGTCAAATTCTCATCCGTCGCCTTGGCTGTAATAAAACAAAGTCGCACGAGTCAGCCATCCATTGTTATCACAAAGCTCAAGCTTGTGCACGGTGCAGGGAAGCACGGTCCAGAAATAGACTAGGCCCCCAGCTGCATCATAGGTCTAGGAATATGAGGTGATAGCGACGACTCACCGACGGCATCGTCGAAGGCGCTCTGGGGTGTACGGAACATCGCCAGTCTGTTGTTCTTCAAAGATCCCGGGCTGTCACAGTGGAAAGGGTCGGGGGTGGTTGGGTAGCTGTTCGTTCGGCCTAGGGCAGCTCGCTCGTTCGCTCAGATGTCTGTTTATGTCGAGTTCAGGGGTATTTGCTGTGGACCCGATGATCAGGCGAGGTCAATAAAGCGACCCGTCGTGGGCGAAGGCGTCTGTGGAAGCGATGCTTGTGTCGAGCACCGAATGCGGGGGGAGGAGTGACGAGGTCTCAGGGAGGCCAGCTGCGTGGTGAGTGGGCGAAGGCAATACCGAGAGGAGGGAGATGTCTCAGGAGAAAAGTATGAAGCTGGAAGCTGAGTGAATAGGTGCCTCTAGGATGTTCCAAAAGAGTATACAGAGCGATCGGGGGCAGTGTTGCTGGTGTTGGTGAGGGCGGAAGCACACTGAGTCAGCACGATGACGACTGACCGAGATTTCGTGAAGTATACTGCCTTGGTTCAGGTACGTCAGGCTCCTACTTTTTGAACTTTTTTTCCCTGTTGCCCTTTTGGTGTCTGCCTGTTGATCTAGGTGGCTTGCTGAAGATATTTATACCTGGAAAGCTCCGCGCTGCATTCTCCATACGGTATACATTGTGCAAAGCTATGACTGATGAGATGCGAGCACATACTATAAAGAGCTGCAGTCGATAAAATCGTCAAATCTGAACACATCACAAGTCTGAAGAGTACTCTAAACCCACACGATCAAGCCAAGCAAGACGATGGACACATGATAAACCGCGAGAGAGGACTACTACATTACAGAAACGTCCAACAACAGAGTCGCGGCAGAAAAAGTGACAGCCGAGTCATTTTTCATCCGTGACGATCGGATGCTTGCTAAAGAAGAAGGGTAAAATAAAAAAAGGTAAATGGGTACAAAGAAGAGACCAGACATGGAGACACAGCCATGTCAGAGTCGAGAGAAGAATTGGGGTATCTGAACTAGACGTCAAGAAAGATCAAGAATGGGCCAAACAAAAACCGAAACAGAAGGAATTGTCATCTAAGCACCCCCTTTCTGCGCTTTCTCCTGGGCCCGGTTGGCCCGAGCAGCCTTGACCAGGGGAGCGAGATGCGAGAGTGGTGAGCAAAGGGTCATAAATGGATGCTGCACATCAAGTCAGTGACAGGTCTCGGGAAAGGGAGTGCGTTGGAGCGTACCTTCAACAAGTCGTGTGCCGATGCGCGCTTCTCCGGGTCAACCTTCAGGGCCAGATGAAGGAAGTCGCGGAAAATGTTCGACAGTTTATGCTCGTCCTTAATGGTGGGGGTCCCATTGGTGGCGATCAGATACAATGCTCGGAGCGGCGATTCCGTCAGATACGGCGGCTCGCCCTCGATCATCTCGATTGCCATGATGCCTAGACTCCAGATATCGACCTTGCGACCGTACTCTTTGCGGGTGACCACCTCGGGAGCCATCCAGTACGGGGTGCCTACCATGGTGTTCCGCTTGTTCTGCGAGTCGTTGATCTGCGCGCAGAAGCCAAAGTCGGCTATGGAACAAATCAGCGCCGTTTTGAACCTCCAGGTCCGAAAGAACTTACTCAGTTTGATGTTGCCATCCATTGCCAGGAGGATGTTGTCGGATTTGATGTCACGATGAATGACACCCTTGGAATGGAGGTGTTGCAGGCCGTTCAGAGTCTAGGAAAAGTGTAAGCACTTGACATGAGTCAAAACATCTCTTGAGAAGAGAGACATACCTCTCGACAAACGGCCGCGATCTGTCCCTCACTCATCATGTTGAAAGTGACCACGTCAGTGAGACTACCACCTTCCATGTATTCCATCACTACCCATAGATCTAGACCATGCAAGAAGCTCTCCAAGAAGTTGACAATGTTCTTGTGCTTGCTGTCCTTCATGACCAGAATCTCATTGATAATGAGATCCTTCTTGGGCTGCAAGTCCAAGTTCATTTGTTTGATCGCGACACAGTTGTTGGTGCCCGCTTCATACGCTGTGTAAACACCACCAGAAGCACCCTGACCAATCTTGTTGAGGTTGTAGTAGATCTGAGTCGGATCGCCCGGGTGGCAGATCGACAGGAGGCGCGCCCGAATGTCTGCGGCATTGCTTTGTGGGCGCTGTCGCTGTCGAGGTCTGGCTGCAGGCGGAGCCCGCGCGGCACCCGAAGAAGGCACGGCGGACGAGGAACCAGTTGCTGGAGAGGCCGGTTGGCCGGTGGAGAGTTGTGGCAGCTGAGTCGGCGGGACCTGTGGAATATGCTGTGCTTGTTGCGCCTGCTGGGCTTGCTGGGCCTGCTGGGCCTGTTGGGCCTGTATACGTTGGCTCCGGCTGCGATCCAGCTGCTTCGATGTGATTGCTTGTTGGGCAGCTGCCATCATCTGCTCCTGTTGCTGCTGGTATTGAGTTGGATTGGAGACGATACCAGGCGGTGCTCGTGGCGCCGGAGTGCCATTTCGGGAACTGGATGGGCTGCGCTGAGGGGAAGGCACCGCCTCACTTTCTGGGATAGTCGGGGTACCGAAGGGAGGGCTATAAGCTTCTTGGGCTGGTCGTTGAGGCGTGCCCATGTACTGTTGCGAAACCGGGGGCTGCGGAGGAGGACGAGATGGCGTCATGCCGACAGTGGGTGGCTTCGGTGGTGCCCTGTTCGGGATCAGGCTGCCCAGCGGAGGCGACACCGCCTGGGAGCCTCCGGGTACCCCACGAGGGACAGGAGGCGGGGATCGAGGGTTTTCAAAACTTCCTTGATGGTTCTGCGGGAATCGTGGGCTCCCTGGGGGCGATGGTGCCCGCCCGCCGGTCGGGCTCTGTGCATGGTCAAACTTGTGCCATACCTCATCATCACTATCACCACGAGTGTTTTTCTCATAAAATCGCATGATGTCCATCATAGTCTGCGGGTGCTCTTCCTGCTCCTGCTTTGAGATGCCATTCTCCTGCAGCAAGCGCTGCCACTCCTTGGGCAGGCCTGTGAACTGGCCGGTCTGGTTGTCATATCCGACGTGGGTGACGTGGACCGGATTTTCGGGAGCAGATATTTTGATATTTGGCCGCGGAGAGCCCAGCACACTATTGACAAAGCTCGAGAAACTGGCCTTCTTGCTTCGCCCATGCCGGGGTGGCGGAGGCGTGTTGGCCGGGCCATCGCCCTCATCGGAATATCGTTTTACGGCTGGCGCCCGTTCGGTCTCCCGATGCGAGAAATCCATGTTGGGCAGGGTGGTGAAGCTGGCGGACTGGCGGAGAGATGGGAAACTCCGGGGGTCGGGGCTGGTGTGATGAGCACGTAGGGCCGGAGGCTGCTGGGGACGGTGGTCGGTCTCGACGCTGTTCTCATCCAACGCACTGAGCATACCCCGCGTCTCGTAGGGAGTCGTTATTTCATCTGAGCTGTGTTGATCGTAGGAGAAACGGTTGGAGCTGCGCGACCGGGCGGCGGGATAGCCAGAGGGATAACTCGACTCGGCGGGCGAGGGCCCCCCGCTGCGGTCGAGCGACGAGGACGATGAGCCGAAAACTTCGTTCGCGTTGGAGCGAGAGCGAAAATGATCCCGACTGCCGTTGGGCGAGGAGCGCGGGTAGACAGGGGCAGAGGGGTGGCGTTTGAGTGAGTTGGTGCTCTGGTGGCTCCGAAGAATGCGCGATCCGAAGCTAGGGGGGTCCTTGTGCAGCTTGCTGGACTGTCGGCGGAATTTCAAGAAACTGTCTGAATTCATGGCGGGCAACGACCTGTGTCTTCACGAGACACGGGATTGGAATTGGGGCTTGGGCCGAGGGGGTCAGACTCGGACGGGGAGGGGGAGGTTCAGTCCAACCAGGCCCATCTGCGACCGGAGGGTCTTGGATGGGGAGGGCCCGGACAGGGCTGGAAAGAAATTCCCGATGGGTTCTTGGAATGTTCGGGGAATCTGAAAGGAACTTGGATGGCAGGGGGGAAGGAATGCCACGAGAGAGATGATGGAGAGGGAGTGAGTGAGAGAGTGTGAAGGCAGAATAAATGAGAGCGAGTGCCAAGCACGTGGAGACTGTTACCCAAAGAGGCTGGGACGGCCAGTAGTTAATAGTGAACCTCGAACTAACCATCACTCTTTCTCTTTTTCTCTCGCACCATTCTAGACACGTCGGATGGTGGAGCCTAGTCCACCTTCGTTTGGGCTGAGTCGAACTAGCGTTGGGGGCAGCCCGTTTTGCCTGTCCACTTTTAAGACAAGACTCCACACAACGGTCGCCTTGACCTAGCCTGGTACTCTCCACCCGTCATGTCTCCAGTGGGCACATCCAGCCGCGGGTAATCGCCAATGAAGCAGACGCGCGCCAGCAAACCCAAAGTGCGCACGGGTTGTATTACTTGCAAGTCAGCAGCGACCGAGGTAGTGATAACAGTGGTATGTACTGACGTGGATAGGGCTCGTCGGGTCAAATGCGATGAAGGCAAACCCACTTGTACCAGGTGCACCGACACGGGCAGAAAGTGTGAGGGTTATGCCGTCCCAGCTTCGTCCGCTGCACTTCTCCCCATCGAGGTGGCACCAAGGCCAGAAGTGGCTTCGCCCGTCGAGCCACGCGCACTAGACTTCTTTTTTCATAAGACTGCTCCGCACTTGGCCGGCTTCTTCGAGGCCTCATTCTTCCAAGGCAGTGTCCTCCAGCTGAGTCTGGCAGAGCCCGCGATCCGCCAGGCAATTGCTGCAATAGCATCACTACACGAGCTAGAAGCACCGGATCCATCACTTCCGACAGACACGGGCTTATCGGCCGATCTCCCGGTCAGGCTCTACAATCAATCGATCAGATCAATTATAGACAGAGCCGCCGGTAATAATGCCATGCCGGTGGTAGCTGTGGCTAACATCCTGTATACCTGCTTTGAATTTCTCCGAGGCAATGCTGCTACCGCTGCTAACCACGTCCGGAGCGGCATCAATCTCCTGCAATCGTACCGGGAGCAGTCAGGAGGAGCGCCGGCAGGTCCGTGGGGGCAAAAGTATCAATCATTCGAATCACACTTCATGGAGACTGAGATCGCTCCATTATTGAGCTTGTTCAACGTCAACGTGCTCAAATTCGGCCGTCGCGACCGCGCAAGGCTTCTGCTCAATTCGGTGGATGACATCGGACAGGTCGTGTTGGCCGACCGGTTCGAGACTCCCCGTGAAGCTCGAGTCGCTCTCCTCGATCTCATCTCTATCTCCATTACCTCCTTTGAATATTTTGACCAGGTCGTCAGCCACGGAGAGCTGCCCATGGCAGATATCTTGGTCTTTTTCGACGGGATGCGTACGGGCCTCAGGCAATGGAAGGCCAAATTCGAGGATCTTGCTCGCCGCCAGGAACATTCGTGGAATCAAAAGGAGCAGGCTGCCGCGAACGTAATTCACGTCATGGGGTTCAGCGGCGATATCGGCATGATTGCCTACCAGGTCAACGGTGAGAGTGACTGGGATGCTTATCGATCCGAGTATGTAGAATTTATCCAACTCGCGGAATCTCTCGTTTCAGATGAAGCCCATTACCCCGATCCATTGGCCAAAGTGCTGAGCTTGGATTTTGGAATGATCTTCCCTCTCCACGCAGTGGCCTGGAAATGTCGCTGGCCCCATCTCCGTCGCAAGGGACTGGATCTATTCCATAAGATACCCAAGCGAGAATGGTCCCTCGTTTCGGAGCGCTACCACGCCATCTTCTCCCGAATCATGGAGATCGAAGAGTCCCACCTTCAGCTGGCGCCGGGTACCATCCCAGATGAGAATGTGCTTCCTCCTGAGCACGCCCGGATTCATGACTTTCAAGTGGCTCCTCACCCGATCAGCCCGGACGAACGTCCTCTGTTCGCTGTTAGCTTCTTCAGCAAGCCCAACGGTCTTGACAGTGACTGGCATTGTCAAACGGAGTATCTCCATCTAGGGACCTCTGAGTCCGCTGAGTCCGCTGAACTTGCGGTCCCGAGCAACTTGATCGCGCGGAGACCGTGGGCCAGCTCTGAGCTTTCCGATCCGAATACTATACGTCTCTTGAAGAGTGCTGTGTTTGGCTCCGAGACCGAACTTCTCGTGCGAGCGTCGCCTGGACGGGATCTTTGATGATATGATGCCATAGAGCGGGTGATAAACTTGGCTGCGGAGTTTTGATTCAGAAAGCGGCGGTGTTCATAGATCGAGATAAATGCTGATAATTATATATTCAGCTCACTTCTTATTGGTATGTCTCTAGACGCGTGATATATGACTCGAATAGACAGATTTAAAGAACGGCTTTTTGAGTAAATTTAATTTGCTTGGTTTCAAAATAAATCGCTTTGACCTGGCTCAGCAGTAAGTGAAGACAGATCAACTATAAAAGACACATGCCACCTTATTCCGCATATTTTCCATGTGAAAGGCCCACAGGTCACTATCTCTCAGACATGAACACACAGAACATCCACAGAGACACACTCCTCTTCCACGCCTGACGGTGGATTTTTCTGACACTGCCAACCATTCTGGCCAGCCTTTAACTCCACCTGCCCTTTCTCAGACGGGCCTTGAGAGATTCTCTCCAGCTGCAGTGTGAAATCTGTGATATTTTCTATCCCAGATGGAGAACTGAATTCCCATTGGCCATCATCACACTTGGGCCGGATTTCAATGGGTGCCAGCTTGTTCCTGTACGTAACATGAGATGTTGGTATCCGCAGAGCAAACACGCGGGTCGCCAAAAGAAAGGAGAAGAGAAAAAGACAACTCACCATGAAAGTTTGCAGTCAGTGGGCTTTTTCTTGTTATTTGGATCATGGAGCGTGAATCTCAGGTGGCCGGTGTAAGTGCTTTGGTTGGCGTGGATTTGGGTCAATTGCAGGGGTTGGTGACCTGTCTTCTGGTGGCTCGATGCTGCAAAGGCATTGCCGGCAGTCAGGAGAAGCGCCAAGATACTGAAGGTCTTCATAGTTGCACTTATCAGTAGAAGATACATAACCAGGAAGTGGGCGGGATGACTGTTGATGATATAAGAGTCTGCCGGAATGAGAGTTCCTTCCTCCCTTTTATGCTTAGCTATGGTGGCTCACATTAATAATGACTTCGTTAGGCCGTCTACTCTGTAATTTCTTTTTTAGGTCCAAACAAACATCCGTCTGTCTGTTATGGTTTGCTCAAATTTACGAAATCTACGCTTCCTATGGCCATTCAGCTCATTGTTTTGGTATCATTATTACTTAGGTTGGTAGAAGACACTAGCATTCTTTGTGTGTGGTAGGAAAAATAACTGCGATAATTGAGGAAACTGGTGATTTAGGGTCAACCGCCTTCAGTCAAAGGAGCCGGCCTTAAAGTAAGTGTCACGGTTTCGAGATGAGAAACCGCGAAGAAAAAAAATTTGGCAGGTGACTTTATCCCTAACACTTTGGGGGCGAATGACCCTTATCCAAGTTTGGGAAAGAATCCTGGAAGGAATGTAGGGAGCACGGGTGAAGCACACTCGCGCCCGAGTCTGAAATGGCAGTTCCTATCAATTCTGCTGGCCCCTTTTCGAAAACTTACTTGGATCATGAAACTAATGCAATTCATGTTGCCCACTCGTTGTTCTTGATTGGCTTCAAATGGCCAATAGAAGTGTGGATATTCAACAGGTTACACATCACATCAAGAATCTTTAACTGTGCCCCCTTGCCAAGCCAATAAAGGGGCCACTACCAGTGATCATAATTTATTCACTTAACAGCGGACTTTACAATTTGGTTTCTCTTTTTGTTTATTCTGGGCTGTACTCCTTTTGCTTGCGAATATTACTTCTTGGCATCTAAGCTTCTGCCTGGTCCGCTTTGGTTTGCACAGTGGATCTACCCATATTGGACAGATCAAACCAGGTTTCAGCCTTGCCGCTTTAGTTAACAGCCCTTGCTTTTTTCTGTTCCCTGGGCAGATCTAAATAACTCGATGCTAGTGCTCTTTTACTACTGTGGAATCAGTATCCTTGGCGTTGATATAGCCTCTTAAACTTTGGGAAACAATTTGTAAATGATTCTATGGTATCTAGTTTTGTATCTCTATAACATGGATCAATTATGATGCTCATATTACATGTCTTGGTTCAGACAGAGTCCTAAAGCGGTGATTCTAGAGCAGTACTTTTGCTTCCCATTCTCGATCAAGTTAGTGCGCATTTTATACAGTTGGCTTGAAGTAGCATTGGCCATTGCTTGGCAATTTGCTAGGCTGTCGTGCTTCTCTTCTATCAACCTTTCTTGTACTGTCTATCAGCTGTGTTTGGACTGGGAAGCAATAACAGTCGAGCCCCTCAAGTAGTGACATACTCCGGATTGGCTCTTGTTTAGAGATAGCTTAAACAGTCAATTGATCTTCCCAGCATTTCCGAACCATCGAGTCAGGTGATCTTCTCTCAAGAAGGGATGTTGTATCTAAAAGTGACTGGCCAAGGTCACTTGCCTAAGCACTTTTGTATCCTTTCAAGTGTTTCTATCATAAGTCAGCAATCGAACCTTCTGGAGCCCAAAAGACTTGTACATATGGCGTGATTTAGCAACAAATAATTCAAGATATACATACATGCTATGTATATGTGTGCCAAAATAAAGGGGATTAATTGTTTGGGATACCGTGGAGGTGTTTGCGCTGTCCTTGGCTCTTTCGCTCAGGCAGTCTCCAAATGCCCATGTAAAAATGGCATTGTGATAACCTTATCACAGGGGTATATTCTCGACGGCTCACCGTAGAAGGGA